GATTGAATGGGCAGTCAAACAGAAAATTCCTGGGCGGTTTGAAATGAACTATTCTTCGACCAGATCTCTCTAACCCTACTATTAACTGAGCTGTTGAAACCAAGAGTAGGGCATTTATTCATTTATTGTTCATTTTAGTATTTTTGACTTTGTGCCATCACTTCCAACTTCCTAGAATATATTTGAATATTAATTTCAGGTAATATATTAAGCCGGCTTCTTGATAGCTCAGTTGGTAAAGAATCCGCCTGCAATGCAAGAGACCCCGGTTCGATTCCTGGGTTGGGAAGATCCACTGGAGAAGGGATAGGCTACCCGCTCCATTATTCCGTATAATATAGTAGGCGCCCCTTCCAGCCTTCTGTTGCCTCTAAATATGATAACCAAAATGCTTAATAAAATGTTGAGCAGAATAGAACTGAAAATAGAATTCTTGCATACATTTGCCCCACACTGACATTGAACAATTAAGGTCCATAGTACATACTGGAAACTAAGTGTTTGATGAATGACTATGTGATACACTTCTTTTGAGGTATACTTGTTCAGCCAGCCATGAAGCTATCTAATTATGCTATCATCTCGCAGACCTTTCTCCATTCAGGAAATTTCGAGCATGTCAGAGTTGGGCCTACTTCTGACATTTAACCTAATAAATAAAGGCATTCTGCCTTTGCACTACACAGACCAACCTGTTTAATAATTCAGTAAAACAAGAGATCTGCACGCCAGGACTTCAAGAATCCTTGCCAAGTCCTAGTGGCCCCTCCCATCCAGTCCAGTTGTCCTGCCTTTTAAATGGTCGCTCACCAGGCTCTATTTCCTCCTCTTTAAATGAAACTATGTTGTGCATGGACATTACATGCCAGTCAGTCAGGGGTTTCACTCAAGCTGAGAATCTTGCAGGATGGAGGGTGCTGGGCCGAGCAGCCCAGTGGATCGCCCTGACCTTGGAATGCGTGTTTAGGACTGTATGTATCAGATTCTAGGCGTGTCTTCCTTTCAGAGCAGTTAGCTGTTATTTATGTGACTTGGAATTGGTCGGGATCATCTCATTTTCCTGTCACTTCTGAAACAAGCTGAATCCATGGTAATGGGTAGGGGTTACAGGGATTTTTGAATGATAGCAAAGATAGAAGTGTCTTCCTTTATTAAAGTTTGTTTTTCCTCCCAGAGATGACTGAATCATATGTATAATTTACAATAATAGTCTTTTTAAAGTGTGTTTCCTTAGAGTTTTTGAAGACAGAACGAACCAGAAGAAAAGAAGCATCTATTATTTAGAACTGTATCAGGTTTAGGTGACCCCAAAGGAAACAGCTGAGTTCTCCCTAAATATTCCTGTATGTACTTAGTCGATGAGTCATTTCCCACTCTCTCGCGACTCCGTGGACTATAGCCCACCAGGCTCCTCTGTCTAAGGGATTTCCCAGGCAAGAATACTGGAGTGGGTTGCCATTCCCTTCACTAGGGGGTCTTTCCGACCCAGGGATCGAACTCAGGTCTCCTGCATTGCAGGTGGATTCTTTACTGTCTGAGCCACCAGGGGAATAACCCTAAATATTAGCTGCTTGTCTCCAAGGCACCATCAGTTCTGTTTGCTCACAGCACCTAGTTTGGTTTCCCAGCACCTACTCCATTAGAAAGAGGCTGAGATGTTTACTTAGGAGCTTAGGTGTACAGGCTGAGTTTCTCACACCTTGCTGTGCATATGAATTATCTGGGGATTTTGTTAAAATGCAGACTCTGAATCAGGAGCTTTGGGTAGGACCTGAGTCTCTGCATTTCTAAAGCTGCTGGGGGAGCTGGTCTGAGGACCACACTTGGAATAGCAAGGCCATATGCCATTGAGCTAAATTTTAAGGTACTGGTGGAGAGAGAGCTATAAATGTAGATGTGAAGATGCTTAAGATGAATCTATTCAGAACAGTGATTAGGGGGGTGGGGACAAAAAAAAAAAGAACAGTGATTAGCAGGCAAATCATATGTAGTAAACCTTATATAAGTTTGTCTTGATCCATCTATTGACTCCCTGTTCACTTCCCCTTTCCTAATAATAATGTTTAAATGTGATCTGCATGTGTGGCTCTTTGGTAACTTTGCAGTGATGTAATCGTGCGCAAGCCCATGTTTCTGTTGCGGCAGGTGCATCCGGAGGCGCACGCCTCCTCTGGGGGACTCAGGTGAATGAACCATTGGTGTGTTTCAGCACTGAAAAGGCAATTAGGGACATGAAAGCTACTTGTCTGCAGCTAGAAGGAAACTCTAAAAGCAGACATCCACTCTCCTTTCTTCATCTCTTCTTCCTAGGCTCTTTCTCTCTCCTTTTTCCCTCCTGTACTTTCCACCTTCATAGTTTATCTCTCCGTTTGTTTTTTTTCATCCCGTGTACCACCATCTGATGTACCAGGGACACAGTGGCATCCTGTGGCGCCCTCTCGTGGTTCTCTGAAAATATAGCTAGACACAGTCCCTACTCTCACAATGATTTCCCCTGCTGAGAGATACAGACAGCAGAGAGAGCCAGTGAAGCACAGGACAGGGGCACGTGCCCCAGAATTAAGAGACCCAACTCTGTAGCTGCACTGGTAAATAGGAAATATGGTCCTTCTAAATGTAGGAGGGTGAGTTGAAATTTGTATCAGTCTGGCCCCAGGGTTGCTCCAGTTAATCTTTGTATCCTTCACTTATTGTCAGTATTATCTGGAAAAAGATGTTTATCAGTGGACCACTTTTTAGAAGAGTGCATTTGAATTTGTCTGTTAAGGCCAATATGTTTTAGTGGTCCATTAGCAGAAAAACCAGCCATGGAATCTATAATGAGATCTTTAAGGCCAACAAAGCCACCCAGTGTCTCTCAAAACAAACAAACAAAAAAAGTGTAAATAAACCAAGGCACTGCTAAGAACCAAGTCGGCATTGTTTTTTCAAATTCACTAAAGCTGAGTTCTGTTTTAAAAAGTACCTTCAGAGGGGTTTTCTAGTTCTGTGTATGGTGCATTCCATTGTGCAGCAGTTTTACATTTGCATTGCTAATAGCCCTCTTTGCAAACGTGTTTGACATTTTACTTGGCTTTGAAAGGACTTTTATGCTGCTATTTTTTTCTTCCCTAGAGCTGCCTTGGGCTAATTAACCTATTCCCTTACTGGCTGGGCCTACTATATGCAAATACCCTCATTCTGGATTCTGACACACTACTCTTACATGAACATCGCTAATGAAATCCTGTGGGGTTTTATTGGAGCAGCGCTACTGTGGGGCCAGCAGGGGGCGCATGGAGCAGTTCACGTCGAGTCCATCTCCTAAATTACTTTCCTTTGCTAGTCCCAGTGGGAATGCCAGAGCTTATGCAGTTCTCTTAGAGTAAGTTGAAACCTAGAGATAAAAGATCAGTATCAGCACTTTTTAAGCACTCAAAAGGGTCAACTGTTTTCAATTTTGGTAGTTTAATTTTATTCTGTCGTTGGTTTGAAAACAGCACTGTCATCTCAGGAGATTTGTGTATATTGGGTGTAAATTACATGCCATGCACTTCCTAGGAGAAGACTATACAGAATGCAGTTACCTGGGGCTTAATAAAGCCAGAGGTTGGGAGGGTAACACTGAAAACTGCTGCTTTACTGTGTCTGTTTTAACATCAGACTATAGAAAGTGAGTCTGGGTAGAAGAAATGCTAAAACCCAGGTCCTAGAATTCCCAGAGCCTGATTGAGCAACTTGCCAGGATCACAGCACAAGACTGCTCACAGCCTGTAGGCAGCCGTCACATCCGCCTCCTGTTAGCCTAACTCCTGTTGGTTCCACTGATGATCTGCCTCTTCTCAGGTGGACATCTGTCTGCCTACACAGTCCTGGTAACAGAGTTCAGTGGTTCCCAAAGACTGAGATAGGTGTCCATGAAAACTGGATCCCTCCTTGTATGTCCAGGTTGAAACACAGAGGCCTGATTGGTCTAGCGGAGGCTTCATCTCTAGGGTTCATGGTGGACTGGCCCTTTCCAAAGAGAAGAGGGTGGAGAGTATGGATGGAAAATTCAAAGAGCACTTGGAAAGGAAGTAAGAGGCAGAGATGAAGCAAGCATGTTGCCCTCATTAAGGACACCCTCAATGTCTGATTATTGCATTTTTAAAAACCAAACCATGTTCCTGTTTTGACTGTCTCCTAGATTCCTTTTGGCTGTTACCATATGAGTAGCTGTACTGGGAGCTGTTTGGAAACGTGTAGAGAACAGAATTATTGGGGGCTCCCCTGCTCAGCTGGCCTGTATATAGTGTCTGTGTTTTTATCTGTGTGTATGTGTTAGGCAAGAGAGAATTGTTGTGTATCCAGTATGGACCCAGAGCCACTAGAATCTTTGAGTAGCGCCAATGGCAGAGCTTCCCTGATAGCTCAGCTGGTAAAGAATCTGCCTGCAATGCAGGAGACCCGGGTTCGATCCCTGGGTTGGGAAGATCCCCTGGAGAAGGGAAAGACTACCCACTCCAGTATTCTGGCCTGGAGAGTTCCAAGGGGTCGCATAGAGTCCTAGAGGACTGATCCATTTCCACTCTCACTTTCACTATGGCACAGGAGGACTCAGGTACCCTGAGAAATCCCCTGGGGACTCCGTTCCTAACCTGGCCCTCTCCGTGCTGGCTCAGAGGACGGCTGATACTCGCTGGTGCCATCCTCCTTGTGGGCTGCATCTGATCCTCCAGAGGCTGGGTAAACATAGAGCTGAAGAGTGGGAGGGCCACTTCTGGGAGGGAAACTCAGAAATGCATTGTTTGCCCTCCGAAAAGAAAGTGAAGTCGCTCAGTCGTGTCCGACTCTTTGCGACCCATGGACTGTAGCCCGCCTGGCTCCTCCGTCCATGGGATCCTCCAGGCAAGAATACTGGAGTGGGTTGCCATTTCCTTCTCCAGGGGATCTTCCCGACCCAGGGACTGAACCCACGTCTCCCGCATTGTAGGCAGATGCTTTATCATCTGAGCCACCAGGGAAGTCTTATTTATAANTGTGACTTTCCGTTTATCAGACTAAAACCAGAGCCAGTCCGACAGTGAAACGGTCACCGTGGAGGGGGGACGGCGAAAAATGAAATCCAACCAAGAGCGCAGCAACGAATGCCTGCCTCCCAAGAAGCGCGAGATCCCCGCCACCAGCCGGCCTTCCTCGGAGGACAAGGCGGTGCCCAGCGACAACCACCGCGCGGAGAACGCAGCATGGCTCCCCGGCGCCCGGAGCCACGTGGGCGGGCGGCTGGGGCCGGCGGGGCCCCCGGCGGAGCTCGGTTTACAGCAGGGAATAGGTTTACACAAAGTGCTGTCCACGGGGCTGGACTACTCTCCGCCCAGCGCGCCCCGGTCCGTCCCGGCGGTGGCGTCCACCACGACGATGCCGGCTGCATACCCGCCGCCCCCGCCGTCCGGGGCCCCCGTGTCCCCGGTGCAGTACGCCCACCTGCCGCACACGTTACAGTTCATCGGGTCTTCCCAGTACAGCGGGCCCTACGCCGGCTTCATCCCTTCCCAGCTGATCTCGCCCACGGCCAGCCCGGTCACCAGCGCGGTGGCCTCGGCCGTGGGCGCCGCCACGCCCGCCCAGCGCTCCCAGCTGGAGGCCTATAGCAGTCTGCTGGCCGACATGGGCGGGCTGAGCCGAGCCTCCGGACACAAAGCTGAGCCGCCGCCACCTCCACCGCCGCCGCAGCACCTAGGCCGGACCGCGGGGCTCCTCCCCCCGGGGTCCCCACCGCCCCCGCAGCAGAGCCAGTACGTGCGCATCTCCAGCTCGCCACAAAACGCTGCGCGCCCGGCCTCGCCGCCGGCCCTCCCCGTCCACCTGCACACGCACCCGACCATGATCCCGCACACGCTCACCCTGGGGCCCTCCCCGCAGGTGGTCGTGCAGTACACCGACTCCGGCAGCCACTTTGTCACCCGCGAGGCCACCAAGAAGGCGGAGAGCAGCCGGCTCCAGCAGGCCATGCAGGCCAAGGAGATGCTGAACGGGGAGGTGGAGAAGGGCCGCCGGTACGGGGCGCCCCCCGCGGCCGACCTGGGCCTGGTGAAGGCGGCCGGCAAGGCCGTGCCCCACCCGTACGAGTCCAGGCACGTGGTGGTCCACCCCGGCCCCGCCGACTACAGCGTCCGCGACGCGTCGGGGGTGCGGGCCTCGGTGATGGTCCTACCCAACAGCAGCACCCCCGCCGCCGACCTCGAGGGGCAGCAGGTCACCCACCGGGAGAACTCGCCGTCCGCCCTCAACGACAAGAGCAGCCTGCACTTGGGGAAGCCCGGGCACCGCTCCTACGCGCTGTCCCCGCAGCAGGCGCTGGGCCCCGAAGGCGTGAAGGCCGTCGCCACGCTGTCCCCGCACACGGTCATCCAGACCACACACAGCGCCTCGGAGGCCCTCCCGGTCGGGCTGCCGGCCACGGCCTTCTACGCGGGCACGCAGCCGCCGGTCATCGGCTACCTGAGCGGCCAGCAGCAAGCGATCACCTACGCCGGCGGCCTGCCCCCGCACCTGGTCATCCCGGGCACCCAGCCCCTGCTCATCCCGGTGGGCAGCGCTGACCTGGAGGGGTCGGGCGCCGCCTCGGCCATCGTCACGTCGTCACCCCAGTTTGCTGCAGTGCCTCACACGTTCGTCACCACCGCCCTGCCCAAGAGCGAGAACTTCAGCCCCGAGGCCCTGGTCACTCAGGCTGCCTACCCGGCCATGGTGCAGGCCCAGATCCACTTGCCCGTGGCGCAGTCCGTGGCCTCCCCCGCCGCCGCCGCGCCCCCCACGCTGCCGCCCTACTTCATGAAAGGCTCCATCATCCAGTTGGCCAACGGGGAGCTGAAGAAAGTAGAGGACCTGAAGACGGAGGACTTCATCCAGAGCGCGGAGATCAGCACCGACCTGAAGATCGACTCCAGCACGGTGGAGAGGATCGCGGACAGCCACAGCCCCGGCGTCGCCGTGATCCAGTTTGCCGTCGGGGATCACCGAGCGCAGGTAACATTGCGTCCGCATCACGCAGGTAGGGGTACACCGCGCCATGCCACCTCCCTTACCTCCTGGCACCGTGACTTTCTTCCAAGCGGCAGGCCTGTCTGCAGCTGTGGGGGGTGACTGAGGGTTTTCTTTCACTTTCACTTTGTACCTAAAGGTTAGACTTTTCACATTACCCCCAACCACCGTTCTCTTAAGAGAATTAAGCCCTAATGCACCCCGAAGCATTCGCTGTTTGTTATGAATTAATTTCTCTGCTTCTCCAATGGGGGCTGGTCAGGTACCATGCTTGGGACAGTTAAGAAGATCACCACTCAGGTTATTTTGCTGATGATGTTCTGTGGTTTAGATGAGTAACCCTGATTAAGAAAAGCCATTTTCCACCTCCACTCCCCCCCCGCCTTTTTTTTCGGTCAGGAAAAGGCACTGCTGGTTCAAGGGAGAATGTTAGGTGCCCAGAGTTGCGATATCCCATTACAACAGTGTTGTAATAACAAAATAACAGTGTTTTGTTATTGTTTTTATTTATTTATTTAACTTGGCTGTGCCGGGTCTTAGTTGCCGCACTCGGAATTTTTGACCTTTAGTTGTGGCATGTGAACTCTTAGTTGCAGCATGTGGGATCTAGCTCCCCGACCAGGGGTCGAACCCAGGCCCCCTGTATCGGGAGCTTGGAGTCTTAGGCGCTGGACCACCAGGGAAGTCCCAACATCCATGTTGTAACGTGTAGGTTTTGTTATCATTTAGGTGTGGTGAGGCCAACAGAGGAGAATACATCTGCCATTAAAAAGGTGGTGTGTTATACTCAGATCCCAAGAAGAGGGGATATGCCAGGCCAAGTGGGCTGACGTGCGGAAGCAGCCCAGGGTCTGTTACAAGGCACTAGAGGGGAGGAGAAAACGTGGACAAGAGCCCTTATTGTTGTTTCTGTGGGAAGAAGTGGGTGAGGCAGGGCAGCAAGCGTAGGTTTGGCTAGTTGGAATCATGTCAGCAGGCTCTGGGTACAGGAGCTGATCCTAGGTGTCTGATAGTGACCCAGAGAGTGAAAGTCCCATTCAGTGAGGAGGAAGCTCGGGTGTGGGTGTTTTCTTTGCAGGTGAAGAGCATTATCCCCGGCAGGGGCGCTATTAGCTATGTCTAGGAATTAGCTAACCCAGGGAGGGACAGTCTCTCCAGTTTCAGCAAGACCCCAAGATGTCAAAGCATCAGATACAGAGAATAAAAGGCCTGGTTCATATAATCTGGAAGGTCAAGGCTGTCCCAGGTGATCTCCTGGACTTCTGATAAATAGGAGCCCCAAGGGCCAGATGCAGCCAAGCTGAGTCATGTTAAAACTGGAACCGTGGTCAGCTCTTAATTTCCATGCGTTCCTCCAGTCCACTCTTTTCCAGCTTCTTAAATCACTTGAATGCATTTATTCCGCATTCATGTGTATGGAAACGGCAGTTTCACTGCCCAACTTGCTTGAAGTCAGGTTTGGCCCCCAGGGGGGGAGCTTCCCAAGCTATAGAGCCTCAGTGCCTCTGGGAATGGGATATGACAGCACCTCCTTCAGTTTGAAATGAGTTGAAAAATGGTCAGGGCGTAGCTGGTATTTGGGACAGTCAAAGATAAACAAACTAGTTAATGGTTTGAATTGTTTTTAGAATATTTTTAAAAAGATCAAGTGAGGTGGGGGAGTCTGATTTTCCAAAGCGTTTTCCAGGACTGCTTGTGAATGTCCGGATGTGGTTCAGATCCCAAGAAGAGGGGATATGCCAGGCCAAGTGGGCTGACGTGCGGAAGCAGCCCAGGGTCTGTTACAAGGCACTAGAGGGGAGGAGAAAACGTGGACAAGAGCCCTTATTGTTGTTTCTGTGGGAAGAAGTGGGTGAGGCAGGGCAGCAAGCGTAGGTTTGGCTAGTTGGAATCATGTCAGCAGGCTCTGGGTACAGGAGCTGATCCTAGGTGTCTGATAGTGACCCAGAGAGTGAAAGTCCCATTCAGTGAGGAGGAAGCTCGGGTGTGGGTGTTTTCTTTGCAGGTGAAGAGCATTATCCCCGGCAGGGGCGCTATTAGCTATGTCTAGGAATTAGCTAACCCAGGGAGGGATAGTCTCTCCAGTTTCAGCAAGACCCCAAGATGTCAAAGCATCAGATACAGAGAATAAAAGGCCTGGTTCATATAATCTGGAAGGTCAAGGCTGTCCCAGGTGATCTCCTGGACTTCTGATAAATAGGAGCCCCAAGGGCCAGATGCAGCCAAGCTGAGTCATGTTAAAACTGGAACCGTGGTCAGCTCTTAATTTCCATGCGTTCCTCCAGTCCACTCTTTTCCAGCTTCTTAAATCACTTGAATGCATTTATTCCGCATTCATGTGTATGGAAATGGCAGTTTCACTGCCCAACTTGCTTGAAGTCAGGTTTGGCCCCCAGGGGGGGAGCTTCCCAAGCTATAGAGCCTCAGTGCCTCTGGGAATGGGATATGACAGCACCTCCTTCAGTTTGAAATGAGTTGAAAAATGGTCAGGGCGTAGCTGGTATTTGGGACAGTCAAAGATAAACAAACTAGTTAATGGTTTGAATTGTTTTTAGAATATTTTTAAAAAGATCAAGTGAGGTGGGGGAGTCTGATTTTCCAAAGCGTTTTCCAGGACTGCTTGTGAATGTCCGGATGTGGCATCTTGCACAATATCAGATGGCCTGCGTTGCCAGAAGCTTTTAGCCCCGAAGACTTTTCTTTTTAATGGTGAGATGTCGCTTCGAACTTTGGTGAGGCCGAAGAAAAATTTCTCAGGGTTCTGATGCCAAAAAAAAAAAAAGCAAAAATCAGGATATTTGGAAAAGGGCATCATTATGTAGAACTCCCTACCCATGTCTGAGTTTCTGCTCCCTATCCGCATCCTACATGGATTATGAGTGGATGGATCCTCATTGAAAAAAGAATGAGCTGACTTACTAGCAAAGTTGTCATTTAACAGACCCCAAGTGAAGCCTGGGAAATAAAAAAGAAGGAAAAGTAAATGTGTTTTTTTTTTTTTTTTTCATGATCCTTGTAATCCTTAAAGCAATACTGTGAACAGAGGTAAGCAGAGGAAGAGGGGTTATTTTGAAATGCAACTATCTCCTGCCCAGCACCTCTTTTCAGCTTTCAGTAAAGAACAGCTCTGAGCTGCAGGCTCATCTCCAAGGCAGCAGGAGCCCCCACAGACCAGAGCCTTACAGACCTCTAGGTTCCAGATTGACTGGCATTGCGGAGGGAGGTAGCATCTCTGCGTGCTCGTCCTGCCCGATCCTCTGCAGAGTGAATGCTTAAACGATCGGCTTCCATGTGTGAAGTCTCATTTCCTTCCTGTCGCCAGGCCACCGGTCTCTTTACTGACGGCCAAGGTGCAAATTAGAAGGTAGCGGGTTTGTCAGGGCCTGTTCACAGGCCTGTCAGGCCGCCCCTGTGTGGCCCGGCCGCCCCCTGGGAAGTATTCAAAAGGGTGGCTGGGGTTCCAAGCTGCAGAAACACAAGTGCAGGGCCCGGCACGCCAGTGATGTGTCACTTTACCCAGAAGCCTATCAGAAACAGGCTGACATCATCCCAGCTAAAATACTCCACCAGCTGTGTTTGCCACAAGTGACGGGGGAATCAGAGAAAGGGAGCGGGGAGAGGGGCGGGCGAGAGAAGGAAGGTCCGGATTTAATTTACACTCTTAAGGGCTGAGGGCCTCCCTTCCTCCCCAGGGGGCTCCCTGAGGGGTTTTCTCCCCTGGCCTGGAGATCCCCTCTCGGTCTTCTCAACCGATTAGAAATCTCTTTAACACTTGCACCCATTAGGGAGGTTGAGAGATGTGCAGAGCGTTTTCACTGAATTAGCCAAATCATGGATTTGACTGGGGAAGTTGTGGGAGGAAGGGGGTAGTTTTCTAAAGGATGGATGGCTTTGTGACCCCTGGCGTAAATCCTGCATGGAAGCAGGACCACAGGGACGCTTGACTTCATAACCTATCCCGGGCGTCCCGGGTGAACGCGGTGTGGCTGGTGGGAGAAGCCCCGAGCCTGGGGTCTGGGCGATGGTAGGAGGAAATGGTCCCACTTCTCTCTGAGCTAGGGTTTTGCTAATAACTAAAATGGGCAAATGATTCCTTATATGAGATCATATCCTCAGCATCCTCTTGGTTTTTGTATTCCTTTGTTTTCCTGCCATGCAGAACAGCCCTTGTAAAATTTACTGGCACCCACTAAGCAAAAATAAAATAATAAAAAGGGGGAGGGGATATACAGGGAAAGTTACCTGACTTCATGCTAATAGCATATAGATCCAGTGAGAAGGAAAGCCACCCTGTATAGAAACGAGGGGATTTTCACTGAGGGATTATTTTTAGGAGCCAAATTCCTAATTATTATTGTGATAAGAGACCTCCAGGGTGGTGGATCTGAAGCTTCGTGTGAGGCAGTGTAGGAGAAAAAAGCTTTTGCATATTTGTCCCCATCCCTGTAGTTTCGTCATTCCCAGAGCAGTATTCCTTGGCCCAGGCAAAGTGTCCTTGCATCCCAGTTTTCCTAGGCTGGTTCTCCTCCAGGAGAATTAAAGGGGCATCTCAGGCATTGTCTGTTAGCCTGTGTGCACCACATGAAGCTTCTCAGTAGTCACCCATGGTCTCCTGAGTCTATGGTGAGCCCAGAAGGGATCCTGAGATGATAATAACATCCACATGGGAGCCAGTGTGATTAAACTGGAGGGCAGAGCATCGTCTGCTTGGGTGGGAAGCAGGTTAACTGGTCAGAAAATGCAAGACCTGGAGCTGAAAAGACCCGAGGCTGAATCTGTCCTCCACCACCGGAGCTTTGGGACTTGGTGCACACACGCTTCGCGGTGCAGATGACACATGCACCCTCCATCCGGCTCATGTTGTAGTGTGAAGAATGAAAGTGGTTGTAAGAATGAAAGGAAAGTGAAGCCAAAGTGTTAGCCACTCAGTGGTGTTACTCTCTGCAAGCCCGTGGGCTGTAGCCTGCCAGGCTCTGTCCATGGAA